CGTCTTCCCGATACAGGGCATCAAAGAGTAGGGTCTTAAGAATACTAGGACGTCGAGGGAGGCCTTTTAATGCAACTAGATTGGACACAGTGGCCGCCTAAGGTTAGCAAAATCTGCAAATTTCCGAGATTCGACCATTTTTTGACCAATTTTGGTCCCAAAATCGTTGCGGTCAAAGGCAAAATCGTTGTGGTCAACGTCTTCCCGATACAGGACATGAAAGAGTAGGGTCTTAAGAATACTAGGGCGTCGAGGGAGGCCTTTTAATGCAACAGATTGGACACGGGCCGCCAAGGTCGCAAATCCGACGCGGCCTCGGCCTCGTTGCACTTGCTGCCATACATTCAGACGCTTCCTGCCGCGCAACGCTTTGTTCCAGGCTGCCCTTTGGGGAGTCGACATGGACGAGTCTGGGCGTCGCGTCGTCGGGACGGCGACTGCGGCGCTCTTTCCGTGCCGTGTGCATAATAGATACAAGGCTGTCACCAAAGTTGTTGAGAACGGACCCTTGCCGCCTCTTTGTTGATTTGTTCTCGACTTTCTAAGAGCAAAATTTTGTTAAAGAAAGTTAATGTTAAGTAAGTTTGGAAAGAGACGTAAAAGTCATCCCTTCCAATTTCATCCGATCCGGGTGTTGAATATTGAAAAATCAAGAGCCACCTTTTTCGGGTGCGTTCGCCATGAGACAGGCATCAGACGATTTTCCGAGGTACGCCGGCAGTCTCGGTCCACAAAGCATCGGCCCTTCCCTGCGAGTGTCCTTGTCCTTGCTTCCAATGGAAAAAGTGAAGGGCGCTCCCTTTACGCGGCACTGCGGTGCAGTAAATCGGGTCGGCCGCCCTTCGGCGCCCTTCGGCCCTCCAGCCTTTGGCCGGACCTGTGGCCTGCCCGGGCCACGGGGCCCTCCAGGCCCTTCAGGCCCTTCGCCACCAGTGCGTCTGCCGCACTGGAACCCACTCGCTGCTTAATGTCAGGGGAAAGGAGGGGCCCGGGCGCGAATACGGAACTCGAGTCGGATTGACGATCACCTATTCCGATGTAATCCATTCTGATACCGTGAGAGTAAAAAGGAGAAAGCGCGGCCGGGGATTGGGCGCCGCCTGATTACGACTTATTTACTGCTAAAGCGACATGGCGTTGCAGTGCCCTGGCAGTGCCGGTGTGGGACGATGGAAGTACCCCCACGATGAATGTAGGGGATTTGCCTTGAATGGTTGTACCCTTGCGGTACCCAGCTGTACCCCTCGGCACACTTCTCGAAACCGGCCCACACCACGCCAGGCGAGTCCACACGGCGTACCGCACGGAAGTTCAGGGGTCAGGTGGCATGTCCATGCCCGCCGCACGATCTTTCGTTCGATGGCAAACAGCATGTCGCGCGACGAGTCCCTCCCAGAATAACGACTAATTGCCCCGACTGGCGGTGCGATGACGTGGTATTTTGGTCCTGCCGTACCCGATTCCCTGACGGACTCCTGAGGGCGTTCTGCGAAACTGACAGCGCGTGGGCCGTGCGGCTCAAGGACTGCTCGGGACTGCTGCCGCCGCGGGGAGGCAGTGCCGCGTCCACGAGGGGGAGTCATCCCCGATGACAGCTCGGCCGGGCAAGGCAAGGCAAGGCCTGGCCGGGCCGGCGGGGCGACGCGACGAGGCGACCCCGCGGTGCAACTCGCGGCCTCCGCACACGTCGAACGACCGCGCGGAAGTGAGTGCGGTGGCGGAAGGCCGCGCCGCTCATAATCATAATCTTTTACGCTTTTTAATACGTACTTGCGTCGCCGCGGTACGAAGGACGAAGGACGTCATATACACGAAAAGAAATGACGCGGGATCTTTACAGCGCCAGTAAAGAGCGACCGCTTATTCGGGTCTTGGCCGCGCCTTGGCGCACGCCAGGACGGGGCGGGCGGCGAGGTGGACGCCGGGCCGCTTTAGTGCGAGCTAAGTAGAGAGGCTCTCCTCATCCTTCAGGGAGTCTGACAGCTTTCGCATCAGCCTCGCCCCCGCCTCGCCTCGCCCCCGCCGCGACGGCCATCAAGGAATAAAAAAATGTGAATACCGCGTGGACGCCAACCTCCTGGCTCCTGGCGCCGCCCTCAACTATCCGCTCAAGTTACGCCGAGCAAATGGACGGATCCTCTTTACGGTCACGGGAAATCCGGGGCGGGCGGGAGGGGCAGCAAGGCCGTAAGACTTTTAATGGGTCGGTGAGCTGCCTACCTGCAAAATGCTCCAGTTTCGCAAGCCGCCGACTGGAAGTGTGATAGATAATCCGATTATTGGCAATACTGGGGAATTTTCTATGAAGGATCGTCAAGGCTGGTCCGATGTAGGGCGTCCACCAAGTAGGATTATATGAATACGGGATGGCGATGACGACTACAACGCTGTCAGCGGCCTCCCACCCTGGAGGGAGTCGGCTGCAGAGGTTAATGAGATTCTTGTTCATACTCCCTTGCTCGTGTTTCGCCCAGAGAACAGTGCCCGCTGGCAGCTCTGCCCGTTTAGGCATTATTCGGTCCCAGCTCTTTCACCAAACAGCGCTTCCTGCTTACTTCTTCCGCGTTCTCTTGTCCCATCGGGTCATACACGAACGTCAGCCAATGACGCCAGCCCGCACACGACACCGCGCTGCGTTTCCCCGCGACACGACAGAGGCTCATTTTGCATTCGAAGCGCGAGGCACAAAGCGCGCCATCGCGGAGACAGGTCAGCTCGCTGCCACGCCACTGCCACCCTCCATCGCCAATTATTGCACAGCGTGCATTTTCCATTACAATCCGACCCTCCGGCGGCGCGGCCCAGCGCGGCCCGCGGCAACGCGAGGCACCACGCGACGCCTGGCGGTGCATAGTGCATCGCGGTGCACAACAGTGCGCGACCCGCATCGCAACGCCCGCTGTCACCTAGCCAAACAAATCTTGTCCCTGCTCGTCGATCGGTGCTGACGAATGAATGTGCCAGGCGATGCCGATTGCCGAGGGGGTACTTGGAAGCCCGGGAATGAATTACCTCCCTCTGGAGCATAGTGGTTAGGGGTACAATGGCGTTGTCTGGTGGAGTTGGGTGAAGCCGTTGGCAGCTCCTTCAAAGTCGGCACGAAGACACTGGGGCTTCACCTCCAGTTCGAAACTCCCCTCAACGGTTCACATAGCTTGACAGGAATTTCCTCGCTCATTGCAACGAGTGGTTGGCGGGGTAAGTCAGGTAAGTCCCCTGACTTAGGACCCCTGATCCTAAAATGAGATCATATATTCCAATCTCGTAGAATGCATCAGCACTAAAAAAATAATCAGTAGTATGGATGCATTATCGTCACGGGCTGCCATTTTGATCCCCCATTTTACTGGTTTAGCATTTTTCACGGCGTGAATGTCTCAGTAAGTTCTTCTAAACCTTGTTCTGAACCGAAACAAACCCCGTGGAGGTGGGTGGCGCCACGGAGGCGACACTCCTCTTGTTGCAGCGCGTGCGGTCTGGGCGGTGGTCCTGCAAAGGCGGCAAAGGCAAAGGCAGCCGGGGTTGTTTGTTTTTTGAAGCAAGTTTAGAGCTGGAGAGCGTTAAGGGGTAAATAATTGTGGGTCGGACGACGCAGAGCGGCTGGGCTGTTCCGCCACTGCTCCCCCACATGTGTGCCGCCACGCCACGCCCCGCCACGCCCCGCCACGTTGGGGTAAAAGTTGGTCTCGGTGCGAAGAAACAAACAACGCAACAAAAGAGAGAAAGAGACACTTGGTGGTGAGCTCGTCGTGGCGGTCGTCCGCTGGGAGGCCAAGCAGACGCCGAGCATCGACATCAAAAAGCTGTCCGCCGCCCAGCCCGGCACACTACACACACATTCCAACGAGCTGACGCGCTTACAGTTTCGCGGAATGACAGGTGTGTCATTTTTACATTAACTAACTGAAACTTTCCAGCAAGATCTTTTCTTTTGAGAAAATGATATTATTCTAATTTGTTTCATACATTATGTCAGTAATTTGCACCTCATACTGCTTTTATCTTTCTATATTTTTAATTTTAAAAAGTAGCATAAGAACTTGTGACGGAACCATTTCAGTGCACGGAGAACGATGAACGATGCCAGCGGGGAGGTGAGAAGGGGGTAAAGAAGGACGACAGTCGTTCCGTTCCACTGCAAACAGTACTTCGCGGCAAACACGTCGTCGCCGTTCGCATTCGATTCGTACTTTCCGGCGGCCATTATTGATCCGATGGATTCTGCTCGGCGGGGACGCGTTGGTACGCTCGATCGAGTGGCGGCGCCTCCTTCCCGCGCGCCGCTTTGCGGATGACGTCACGCGCGGCGGCTGATTCACAATTTTAGCTCATCGTCGTCACGTCACTGCATGGCTAATTTCGTTCTGCACTGGGTGGTTCGCGTAAGCGCCGTTTTTTTGGAGCAGATGGCTGGTGGTAAAGGCACGTAAAGTGTCCAATGATAATTTTCAATTTTATTAAATTTTTGGCGATGGGGCGCTGCCACCCTTGGCAGCCGCTTGCGCCTCCGGAGACGCGTGTGGCGTGCCGTGCCTCGGGCCGCGGGGCCGCACGCCACGGTACGCTTCCGGCTGCACCGGCAGCATCTTTCACGCCCCTCATTACAAAAATGATATTAGGGCGCGCGGGCCCTGGGCAAGGCCTGGGCAAGGCCGCGGACCTGCAGAGCAGCGCCGCGAAGACAAACGCGGCGCAACTTCGGAGATGACGAGGCGCACGCTGGCGCACGCGGCGGCCAGGCAGGCAGGCAGGCCGCGCCCTCCCGGCAGCTTGCACCTTCTGCAACAGTCTATTTAATACGCGCCCTGCGCTGCTTTAACCCAAAATTATCGCTGTAAAGTTTTATCGTCATGGAGACGGAAGAGGGAGAGGGCCCGGAGGCTGTAACGCGGTTTGCTCAACTTGCGGCAACGCGGTCCGAGGGAGGCGCGGCGGTAACAGCGTTACGCAGAGTTGCGTGCCGAAAAGTTGATGGCCGAACGCGGCAAGCAGGCGCGTACCTTTATGGTGGCGGACGTGGCGGTCGTGGACGCAGCACGGCGCGTCGTAGTACAGCACCCAGTGGCTGTCCAGGTCGGCGACGACCACCGCGAGCAGCAGCGCGGCCAGGACGGGGGTGGCCAGGACGCCGACGACGCCCCCGCCGCCTCCGCCTCCGCCGGGCCTCATGGCATGTCCGAGTGTCCGAGGGCGGTGCCGCGACGCGAGCGAGTCGGGTTGGGGCCCAGCGCGAGGGGCACTCCGCGCTCCAGGCCAGGCAGGCCGAGCCGAAGACGGACGACGCCGAGCCGAGCCGGCTGAGCCGCGCGTCGCGCCGCGGCGCTCGCTGGAGGGAGGGGTGTGCTCTCGCTGGCCGCCAGGGGCGGACTGGCTGACTGGCTGGCGGCGGCGCGTGGGGCTGCTAGCTGCTGCTAGCATGCTGCGGCCCGCGCCGTGCCCGCCGCGCTCGCCGCGCTGGAGTCCGGAAAGGTGGCCGGGGGCGCCGTGACGGGGCAGGTGGCCGCGGCGGGACGCGGGGCCAGGCCAGCCAGGCCGCGAGCATGGCCCGCATTATGCTAATTTGCGCAACTGATCCTCGTGTTGCTGCCTCGTCGCATTGTCGCTCGCCGGGGGCGGCGCGGGGGCAGCGCGGGGGCGGGGGCGGAGGCATTGACGTGCGCTCCCGGCGGACGGTGCGGAATCAACTTCCCCGCTCACGGAGACGGCAGCAAGGGCAGCAAGTTACCCCAGTGCCCCACGGCGACCCCGGGGGCCTCCACGGTGTTGGCCAGGATTTGACAGCGTGTCAGGGCGCGCCGTGGTAGAGGCGGTGGCGACGCCGGCGGGGACGCGGGGAATCTCATTGCCGCCATCCAGAGCTCTGTCTTGGAGTCGTCACGGAAACGGAGCAGGCGCTCGCCATTCTGCTGCTCACCGCTCCGGCAACTTCACCGAGACAAAAGGGGGACTGCCGCGCTGCCGAGTAACGAGGACTTAGTGTATCTTAGGCTATTAGCGCTTCGCTGCCGAGTCAGTCAGCCCCAGCGGCCCCGGCAGCCCCGGCAGCCCCGGCTCGGCAGCCCCGCCCTTCGACGAGTCACTCGGAACGCTATCTGTCAATCGCGTGGAACGAGGAACGCGGCCGCGGCGCCACGAGCTCCAGCGCGCGATGACAATGTATGACTCGGAGCGCCATTCCTATTCGCTGTCACGCTTTCACCCCCTCCCCTCCCCCTTTCCTTGCTCCGAGAGAAGAAAAGTCCCCGCACCGAGGCAGCCTCTCCACGGCCCCGCCGGCCCTGATCCTGATAGCTAATCAGCCGATGTCGATCAGGGCAGCGCAAAGATGCAGCAGCCGCGAAACGAACCGGGGGCGGCGAGGGGTGGGGCGGGGCGGCGAGGGGCGGGTTGACGGGCAGAATGAGGACAGCGCGAGCAGGGAGCGTTCGGGAATACAATGTCCACCTTTTTCGGCACTTGCGACAGGTAGTCCAGTGCAGCTGTCCTGTCCAGTCGGGGGGTTGTCAAAAACAACGACGGCAGCTTAGGGGCGGATAACGTAGCGAGGATTGTCATTTGCCTTTGGCCCGATGTAGTCTGGCTGGACACGAAATGCGCTGCTCTCTCCACTCCACTGTCCACCCAGTGTAGGGGTGGCCGCCGTGACCCTCGATGAGGCTACCTAGTGACTCGTTAGTCACCGCGAGGTACCCCCTGCACGAGGCTAGAGCAGCTAGAGGCTGTTTGATGGGCCCGGCCGCCTGGCCCATTGGTCCTCACGGGGAGTGGAGTGCTGAGCTGGCAGCAGACAATCAGGAGGAACGGGCGTACGTGCTTATTATCACCTTGCGACGGGCCGGGCGGACGGGCCGCGGCGGCAGGCCGTGGCGCCATTCCCCCACCCCTCCTTCCACCGCGTTCGCCCTGCTCGCCCTGCTCGCCGCCGCATCAAGTATTTGGGCATAGCGCGGCGACGATCGCCGTAAAGTTGCCTCGCAGCCTCCAGCCTCGCAGCCTCCGGCCTGGCAGTTGCCTGGCACGGTGGCAATCTGTGCGTCTCCCTCCCACTGCCACTCCTTGCACGCCGAATTGGAGAGCAACGGAGACGGCCACACTTCGAGGCGCATCGCCCCGCCGCCACGCCACGCCGCGCTATGCCCGTTAGTTCCTCTCATCAAGCGGAAGGGGAGGGGGAGGGGGATGCAAAAACACGAGATCAAATCAACCCCCTCCCGCGCGGTGTTTGCATCGCCACTAAACTGAGATGGGAATAAGGGTAAGCAAGCGTGCCCTGGCGGGCGGCGCAGCGCTTAAATGTTTACCGCCAAATTATTACCTGAGAATATTTTTTTACACCCACGCGCGCGTGATGGCGTTCGAACCCGACGCCGCCGCGGCGCGCCACCATGAAAAGGTGGTCGTTCCGAACCCGAGGACGGCGACGACGGCGACGCGTCCGGCAGGCTGCGGTTGGCGGCGGCATCACCGTGTTGCCCGCGGTATTTTATGCGTCGCGGGAACTCCCCTCCCCCTCCCCCTCTCCCCCGCTTACGATTCACTGCCATCCCCCCCCCCCCCGCGCAAGTCGCAATCAAGGGTTCGGCGTACGCACTGCCACGCACGCACGCGCACCGAGTCTTAATTATTGCACACTGTGGGGCATTGCCGGCGTGGCAGAGCGTGGCGGGGCGGGGGGGCGGGGCGGGGCGGGGAGCGCGGCGCTGGCGCGGTGGCATCGGAGTAAATCTCCCTGCAGCCGTTAGGCCGTTCGCTAACAAGGCGCCGCCCGCCCCGCCGCGCCCTGGCCGCCCTATTCCCAAACTCTTTTACGGCCCGGATTACGCGTTTATTAAAAAGAAAATGGGAGAGGTGTGCGGGTCGGCACGGCACGGCGGCAGGACCACCGCGAAGAGGGGGTAGGACCAAGACCAAGACGCCGCGGGGGATGTTTGACTTTCGCGCGCACGCACGTATGCGCGCGCACACACACGGCCATTCGCTCTCTCTCTCTCTCTCTCTCTCTCTCTCTCTCTCTCTCTCTCTCTCGCACACTCACACAGTCGCACGGCAGCGAAGGCCAGTCCTCCGACACACGGCAGCGTGTTAGTGCCAAGCCATTAACCGGCGAGAAGAAGTGACCAAAAGCCGAAAGCCCCGAGGCGCGGCGTGCGTCGCCGTTTCCGGCAGCGACTACCCACCCAGGAGGGCTGCAGGGCGAGAGGGACAAAAGTGGCAAGTTGAGGACACTTCCCCCGTCTCCTGACTTTCACCTCACCCCCTCTCTCCCTCTCTCTTTCTTCCCGCCGCCGCGGCGCCCTGCAATACATCCTCCCCCGCCCCGCGGCGCGGTCACCACACCGCTGACCGACTCTGACAGTTTCGGCCGCACTAGTAGCCCCACTCGCGAACATCGCCGCAGGCAAGTGCCTCTGTCTCCCCTTTTCCCCTCTCCCCTTTTCCCCTCTCCCCTTTTCCCCTCTCCCCTTTTCCCCTCTCCCCCTCCCCCTGCGCCCCGGAGTGGCGCGGTGTATCGATGGGCCATAACAACTGCGTAAGTGCATCACCACAACAACTTGACTTAGTCCTCCAGCCCTCCCCTTCTCGACACGACCAATCTGCACGCGGTTGAGCCGGGATCAGGGCCGCCCTCGTCGACGGCAGCGTCGCGGTGCGGTGCTCGTCTAGGGCGACCGGAGCGCGGGGCAGCGCGGTGTACGAGTCAAAAGTTGTCGCGGCACGGCGACGAGGACGACTCCGCGCGGGACGAGTTTTTATGTTTTCATCATCTTGATACCGAAAGGCGGCCAAGGCGGCCATGCAGCGCCAAGTTGCCCAACTTCCTAATGGGCGCGCATCACTGCCGCAAAGTAGTGACAGTGACTGTGTCAGTGCAGCGCCCAGGCGGGGCGAGGCGGGGCGAGGCCGGGCAAAGCGGGCGTGCCCCCGGGGCTGCCTGCAAGGGCCTCGTCGCTCCGTCTCTCTCACACCCTTGCGGGACGCCCCACGAGTGCGAGAGGGACAGAGTCCTAGAAACAGCGCTCCTGGCCTGTCACCGAGGGGAGGGTGGCACAGCAGTGGAAGTCCCATGGTCTTGCTTCGCGGCCAATTTTCTTGACTGCAACAAGCATTTTTGGAGAGGCTTGATAAGCGGAAAGGAGTGCAGCCGGGTCTGCCGAGGTTGTTTGTAGCCAGCTGGGATAATTGGACGGAAGTGGCAAAACGCAAAGGTGATGTCGTTACACGAGGAGCGCCCTGTGGCGGCAGGAGCGCCCAGTACGTAGGCAACACCAAAGACACTAAGAGCGCGGGAGTCGACCAAACTCAGGGCACCCACACCTCGGCCTCGCCGCGGCCCAGCCGGTGCCAAGGCCAAGGGGGTTACATCATCCGCAGTCCCCGCGATCGCGAGTCCCTGGCGCGCACCTGGAAAGGCCTGGAGCCTGGGGGGCCTGGAGGGGCCTGGAGGAGGGTGCGATAAAGAGGGGAAGGGGATTAAAAGGGCCGAGTCACGGAGTCACAGCGCGACCCACATTCCGTAGCCCTCCATATTCCAATGCCAACTCGCGGGGCCGTCTTCCATTCCGCGCTCCCGTGAATAACACACTCACACTCACTCTCACACACACACACACACACACACCACACACACCACATCCCACACACACACACACACACACACACACACAACACACACACACAACTTCCAAACCGTCTCCACATCCCTCCACAGTACACAATAAACACACACCAGCCAACTATACCCCCAGCACAACGTACTAATTTCTTCCAGACCCTCCCGCCTCAAAGTTTTCCCCGGCCCCTACAACGGGCGCTCATTTTCCCGGCGCCCCTCTTTCTCTCCCGCCCCCCCCCCCTCTCTCTCCCCTCTCCCCCCCTCTCTCTCTCACACACACACACACACACACACACATACACACACACACACGTGGGCAGCATAAAGGTACCCGCGCGCGTGCGCGCTAAGTTTCGTCGTAACGCGCAAAATATTTGGCCAGGCTGGTCGCGGCTGGTCGCGCATTGCAGTGGGCGTCGAGTGCCGCGCCATGTGCGCACGCGGCCGAGCACGCGGCCAAGCACGCGGCGGCCTGGCGGAGCGGGCGAGGCGGGCGAAGCAATGCGAGGCACACCTGTTACGGAAAAACTGCGCGGTCGGCGCAAAAGGAAGTGCCGTGCCATACGTGCCCCTCAGGGGAGGGGGGCTCCACACTCTGATGAAGGAATTAGCGTGCTGCACGTTCCGGCCCGTCTTGCTGGCGTCGTGCCCCGGCGGCGCCGTGGCAGAGGGAGCAGGCAGCGGGCGGAGCGGGCGGAGCGGGCGGAGCGGGCGGAGCGGGCGGAGCGGGCGGAGCGGGCGGAGCGGGCGGAGCGGGCGGAGCGGGCGGAGCGGGCGGGGTGGAAGTGGCCGAACCTGCCAAGCCACAGAGGGAGTGGCGGGGAGTGGCGGGGAGAGGTGGCGGGGGGAGTGAATGGACAAATTGAGGGTCCCTTTGTCAGTTGATGACGTCCCGTGCGCTGGCGAGGCTGGCGAGGCTGGCGAGGCTGGCACCCCTCCCTGCAGCCAGGCAGCCAGGCAGTCAGGCTCTTTGGCTGAGTGTCGCAGGGCCACAGCCGCCACATCCACCACACCTGTCTGAAAGCTGCACGGGCATGGCGCCACCGCAGGGGCGGGCGGACGGACGGAGAGACGGAGAGACGGGCAGACGGACAGATAGACAGACTTACAGACAGACAGAGAGACGCTTATTCGCACGGTTTGGCTGGCCCACTTGAAAGTCACACCGGCAGGCAGGCAGACAGTCGGACAGGCAGGCCGAGGACGGACGGACCCTATCTCGTTCGCGGA